AAAAAAAAAAAAATATATATATATATATATATATATACTAAAGGCCCACCGCTGCTGTCCGGGCAACCAGGCCAGTTGACCCTGGGGGAACCGGGGCCATTAACCCTCAGGGTCCTGAAGACGACAGCTGGAGCCCCAGCCGCAAGCAGGCCAACAAAGCAGGAACCAAATCCCCCAACCAAAAGCCCCCAGGGCCCTGAGATTGGGGGCCCGAGGGCCTCAGCCCCACCGCCCCACCCCCCACCTCACTAGCATCTTAGAGTGCACTTCTTAGCCACAAGTGTTTCTAGGGGGCGTGTGACTTGTCTACTCGTGACCTTCACCAAGTTTCTGCCTAGATTTTTCTAACCCATTTTTAAGAGTTCTTTTTAAATTAAGGATGTTAATCTTTGTGTTAAATTTGTTTCTTACCAATTGACTTTTAAATTAATTAAAAATAAATAACTAAAAATGCCACCTATTATCATATACCAAAAAAAAAAAAAAAAAAAAATACACACATACACACACACCAAAAAAACCACAGAGCCGACCAGGTCTCAAATCCCCTAAGCCAAGTCGAAACAACACCCCGCTGCTGACACAACTTTTGTGGGGGTAACAGTCACAAAAGTTACAGCTCAGCTCACAGTGACAATGGTGGGGAGCGAGCTGGCCAGGCCTGAGCCATGCCTCCTGCAGCTGCCCAGAGGCCCCACCAGGGCAGACCCCCCTCCCAGGCCATGCCGGGACTGGGCAGGCAGTCGGCAGCCCTGGGGGCCAAGGGCACCAGCCCCGCCGGCCCCAGCTGCCCTTTGGAATGCCCTTTATCAATCACACGGGCAGCACTCAAGAATGAACACTTTCCCCAAGGGTCACCATTCTCTGCTGACACAGGAGAATGTTATCTTTAAAGTCACTCAGAAGATTAGCGCAGCCGGGCAGGAGGGTCTGAGACCCCAGTAGGGGCCTTCTCTCCCCTGAGGCAATTCTCACGGGTCCCCCACAGAGCCCAGGCTGCATCCTGACCGCTTTGGGTCTGCACCAGCCCCACCTCTATCTCCACACAGTATTTCATGCACATATTAGGGACCACGGGGAAAAAGAGAAAAAAAGTCAGGAGGGGCCAGGCACATGGGGATGGGAAATGGAAGTAAATGTAATTAGCAGCTCTGATGTCCACGTGCCTCCACAAGGACGTTCTGTTTCCCGGGAATGAGGTTGGCAGGCTGCAGAGATGCACGCCGCTTGGCACGCCGCTTGCCCAGGACCCGGGTTCTCTGCCGGCCTATCTTTCCAAGAGGGAAACACCTGCTTTCCACGCCCCCAGCAAACGGAGCAGAGAGGCCACCAGCAGAACCCAGAACGTGCTGCCCTGTTCTGACTTCCTCTGCTGGACAGGGCTGCGCAGTGCCCTTGCGTAACATGGGTGGGGACAGGGAAACCCACTCCTCCTGTGTCCACCTGCAGTTACACCCCCGGAGCCCATGCCTAGCACACCCAAGAGGTACAGAGGGGGATCTTTTTGATGATAAAAGACCAACACCAAGCCCCAACTGTTGGGTAACTTTCAGTAAAATACGTTTAAACCAAAACCTCTAGGACTATAGAAGGAAAGAAACAGTCTAGTAAAATTGGTCTGATCTCTGCTATTCACTGCAGGAAATGAAACCCCTCCTCCAATCAGAGCAGTGTGCATATTCTTCCGCCACCCTTCTCCTTCCAGCCCATGATGCGGAGGATGCAGGGTCGCCCAGGGACCAGGAGGGGCCATGCCTTCCACCTGGAGGAGCAAGGCAGGCCCCACAGGCGGAGCACTATGGCAAGCCTCAGCGTCTCCCCCTAGCTCCTCCAATGTCTCACCTGCACAGGAATGTGAGGGCCGGGGCTGCCTGGCATGCTCACCTCCTACCCCAGCCCCCACTCAAAATGCACTGCTGATTCATTGATTGTGGAGGGGACAAGTGAGGCTTCAGTGCCTGTCCCAGAGAGAGCAAGTTTGGACGACACTGCCTGTCTCTTTTCTAACAGTGGAGGAGGAAGAAGGAACAAGAGGCAGGGAGGGAGCCTTCCTGCAGGCAAGGCCAGGGCACCCCACACATCCAGATGTGCAGCCCAAGCCACACAGCCTGCTAAGCTCCGAGGACACGGCTGTAGTGTCAGTGACAGTCCCATGGGGGAGCTTCCGGCATTGGTGGAAAACAGCTGTTTCTGAGTTCCTTTTTATGAGATAACAGGGGTCACAGGAACCCTACGCCCTTTCCCTCAAAGACTTTAACTCCAGCTCTGAAGGCCACCCTTTGCAGTGGCATTCTGGCAGGATAAGCCTCTCCTCGCGAGCTACTGAGCTACTGTCTCTTATCTGAGGATGTGAAGACACAGCTGACCTGCCAGGCTTCAGTTGCTATCTGATGGACCGTCAGAAGAGCCCCTTGGTCAGCTCCTCCAGGTCACTGAAAAGACAATTCTATAGAGCCTCAAACAAAATCCCTCCAGGACACCACAGTCCTGGGGGCAGACTGAGAATAAATTCCCTTTGTGGTTCTTTCTCTTTAAGAGTAATTTATTCAGATGTTTTGGCTTTAGTTTGGCAAACAACTGGCTTTGGCTTATCAGGCATTTTCTTAAAACCAGGATGGACTGATAATGGCAGTAAGAAAGAAAAAACAACTGGCCTCTGCCTTTCTAGAAGAAGTCCCCAAATTGACACCCTTCAACTCCTAGGAGCATCCCCTATCACCAGAGGTAGGAGAAGCTAAAAGCTTAACTGGCAGCTTTTCAACCAGATAACAGATAGAGCAGTTTCAGCACGCTCTGATGCAATCCCATGTTGGCAGGGGCCCACACTCCTGGGAAAAAAGAGAAATAAGTTTTGCAGCACCAAGAACAGAGTCACCACCCCCTCATAACCACAGTACCCCAAGTCCCAGGCTGCCAGCTTCAACTGCAAGGCTCACCACAGCTGGGTGGCCCAGAGAGAACGGGACACAGGAAAAGTCTGCAAGTTAATGATAAACAAACCTGGTCACTTGTCCTCACACCTCTTTCAGTTTGATCTTATTTCATTTTCATACTGGCAGCTGCAGACTCCGCTCCTTGCCTGCCAGGTACCAGCCTCCTGCCCTCATCCTCCTCCCAGGAAGCATTCAGGCCCCCGGCGCCCCACCCTTCTAGAAAAAGGGGCCGTGGCAGATAGAAAACCCAATTCAGGCTCATCCTGAACCAGATCTTCAGAAATGCTTAGCAAAATCTAGACAGAAGTTCACACAACTGGAATGGGCCTAGTGCAGTAATGCACAGCATGAAGACCTCTCCGAGCACAGCACCCAGGGAGGCTGCTATCAACATCTAAGTGAATTTTTGTTGTGGTGGTGGTTGGCGGCTAGCTGGTACAGGAATCTGAACCCTTGACCTTGGTGTTGTAACACCATGCTCTAGCCAGCTGAGCTAACTGGTCAGCCCCTGAGCAAATTTAAGCAAATTCCCACTAGCCTCTAAATATATATATATATTTAGAGGCTAGTGGGAATTTGCTTAAATTTGCTCAGGGGCTGACGAGTTAGCTCAGCTGGCCAGAGCATGGTGTTACAACACCAAGGTCAAGGATTCGGATCTCCATATAGGCCAACTGCCTGAAAAAATATATATATATATATTTTTTTTCAGGCAGTTGGCCTATATGGAGATCCGAATCCTTGACCTTGGTGTTATCAGCACCATGCTCTAACCAACTGAGCTAACCGGCCAGCCTACCCTAAACATTTTTTAAACAAATTTCTGTAGAAATTTACAGTTTTGGGACGGAGAGCTTTTAGACAAAAACTAAGGCAAGTGAGCAAACTAAGGGGTGGGGGTGGGGGGCAGGCAGGGGCTCATTCAAAGTGATGGCTAGTTGGAGTATCTGAAAACACAGGTACTGAGCAATTTCCTGCGACCTCACAGCATGGCTTGAGACCCCATCTCCTGTTGTTTCCAGCATGCCCAGGGGTTCAAAAGCATGATAGCCACATGAAATTGGCCATGGTCTCCACTTGGTCATCTGAGCACAGACAGCCAAGGAAGAAAGCAGCTCCTGCCCTCTCAGTGCAGTGGAGATGAGGCTGATGAAAATGCCCGGGGCTGGAAGAAACCTCAAAGGCAGCATTTGGTCCAAGTCACAGACATCAGATAGAAGTCTGGTGACACCCTGCAACCTGGGCCTATTTACCTCGGCTGATGCGCTGTTTCTCTCCCGACAGGATCCCAGGGGTGTCGATGATGCTGATGCTGTCCAGGACTGGGTTGGGCAGCTGGGCACACATGAACCTGCGCAAGAGCAGAGGCCAGGAAGAGAGAGGTCAAGGCCAAGTTATTGCTGCTCCAGATGCCACAACCAGGCTTTCTGAACTCTTTCACCTCCACCTCTGGCTTCCTTTCCAGAAGCAAAGAGCTCACAGGACGTTTTCTATCGTCCTAGTTTCCAGGGGGAGCCAGAAAGTTGTACACACTTTCTCAACTGGGCGTGCAACCAGCAGGTTCCAAGTGACTGGCATCAGCACTTCCCTCACTGTGCTCTTCCCCCAGAGTGCGAGAGTTCAACTGTCAAGTTGCTGACTTGCTAGTGAAAACCATGTGGGCCTAGGTCACCATTCAACTCAAAAGGGAAACAGAATGGTGACACTCAACCTTGGAATTCCAAATGAAAATTTTCAACCACTTGGCTCACTTCCCTCACACTGAAGAGAGCTGGTCCCTTCCTACTGCTGCCGGGCCAGACCTTCCCTTTCACCTGCTAGGGTGAAGGGGCTGCAATGGGCAGCTGGTAGAAACCTGAGGACCACACAGGCTGGTTGACAGAGGGATGGGGAAATACAGACACACTGTTTGCTGAAAACCAAAGCAGGCTGAGAAAGAACAAAGCTGTGGGGAGGGCCTAGCCATGCGTGCCTGAGTGCCATGCTATGCTTAGCACAGCCTAGAACTGCAAAGTGCCCTCTCAACTGATAGCGGGGATTCTTCACTGGACACGGAAAAGGGTCCTTTAAAAACTTCTCTGAAAAATGTATTGTGAGCAAATAAAATACTGACCCATTGTCTGTAGGACACAGTCCTAAAGCTGCCTTTCTGACAGTGGAAAGGAATCTGAGCTGATCAGCTTCTCCTTTTGGTCCCATCCCCCCCAGTGACCAGTAGCCCAGAGGCTGGGGGCAGCTGGCCAGGGTGAGGGGTGCTGCCTGCAAGCGCACCAGAGCAAAACCAGCTGATCCGCCGGGTGAACAAACCTTGGACCGCATCCTTGCTAGAGCCAGCAGTGGAGCATGAGTCCCACCAAGAACCACGTGCCAGACCTAGGGTTCCTGCTAGGGAAGGGAGTCACTGGAGAGAAGATGACAAAGGAAAAGGACTGGAAGTAGAACTGGCTCTCAGAAGAAACTTACATAAAAATGCACCCAATCCCATCTTCTCACCGACCAGGGTGCCCAGATTTCATCTTGCACTACAAGTGGGCGGTCCCAGTTATGCAATGAGGAGTTTTCATGAGACACTCTTCGGACACACTGGCTGTGCCCTGCTTGAGTCTGCTCTATCTGATTTTATTCTTAGAGCAGCTACTCAGAGGGAAAAAGCTGGGAAATCAACTTCATGACTCCATGGGCCTCTTTAAGAGCCGGGAGAGGCTGTATCAGGCAGAGAAAAGCCCCTTTTGTTGTGCCCTCCCTAGCCAGGCGGCACTCAGTGTACTAAACATCCTGACATAGCTTGGGCCAAGGCCCCGACTGGTGAGGCCTCTTTTGGCAGGGCCATCAGCAGTTGGGGACCCTCTGGAGATGAGGTGGTGCTAAGAAGGAAATAAAAGTGTGCTTCTCAGAACCTGTGGCACCGTCATCCAAGCACCTGTCTCAAATCACTCGCTCCTGAACTGCTTGTTTCATGTAGAGAAGCAAGCAGCGGGCGGTAAGTGGCCACACAGAGGCCAGGCAGTCAGTGCTACAGTAACTAAATGGGTGACTTCAAACAAGCTGGGCCCTCTGAACCTTGGTTTCCTGAACGAAAAAATGGGGACTGCCAAGATGATTTTTAAGACCCTTGCAGCTCTAAACTGTAGGTTTCCAAGTTCATAAAACTGGTCATGTGCTCCTGTTTCTCCTTTCAGAAAAGGTCTGCCCTCACAATCAAAAGTGAAGACCTAAGGTCAGCAGAGGTAGGTACGGCGACCCTTCCCTGTGGCTTCCCAAAGTTCTGCATGGAAGCAGAGACGAAATGCTTGGACTTTCTGACACAGAAGCCAGACTTTCCACAAAATCAAATGGCTCCCACCAGCAGCACGCCTATCTACCAGCCCGACTGTGCTAAAACACAAGCACCCTTCGAGGAAGGCTGCAGGCTAAGCAGTAGCCCATAGAGCTTTACTCACCCCAGCCCTGGCACTGACACACAAACACCACCCCCCATAAAACAGGAGGACAGGCTGAAATGCAAAGAGTTAAAGGTCAGCTCTGCACATGGAGGTAGGCCTGGCCACCGGCTCGGCTCTGGGTAAAGTTGGCCTGCCTTGTGTGGCTGCACAGTGTCTGGAAAGGAATGTGATCACGCAGGGCGGAGACCTGGAAGGCAGTATTCAAAGATTCTTTCCCAGGCTCTCCCCTGACGTAGACTGCAGACATCGAAAGGCATGTGGAGTCACTCCTTGGATGGGGGGTGGCCGAGAGGGCAGGGTTTGTAAAGTCCTTTGGTATGTCCCCTGGGGAATTGGGGCTATGTGGGTGGGGGGAGGGAAACTCCTTGAGTTCCTTTAGAGAAAAGTGAGCCTGGGCCTTGCACTCTTTAGAGAGGAGGCCATTGTGTTTCATTCATAGCATCCTGAGGGTCGGAATCTTGGAGGATTACTCTCACCATGAGGAGGCAAGGCTCGCCCATTTAACTGGGGAAACTGAGGTCCAAGAAGATTAAGGAAACTCCTATAGAGTCTACACAGGGACACATGCGACAGTGGGCACGAGTCGCATTTCAGGGCTCCCAGTGCCACTGCCTCATGCTGTTTCCAGAATCTTCTGAAAGCAGCACTGACCCTTTGAGAACTGTCTTTGGGAGAAGTGTTCAAACCCCATCTGTTCCCTGCTTCCCAGGGGCTGCCCCAAAGTCAGCAGGTCACAGCAGATCCTCCTGGTCCCTCCTACACAAAACCACCGGTCCCAGGGGAGGTAGACCAAAGACAAACCACACCAGCGAAGGGAATGGCTAAAAGTTCCATCGTGTTTTCTCATGACGCTTAGAAAAACAGACCCCAGAAGGACGAGGGGGAGAGGGGTTGACTTGAATGAATTAGGTGCGTCCAGCCTGGGACTAGGAGGCGGTGACCAAGAAAGGGAGGACGGGAAAAGCTCACCCTCCGAACGCAGCCCCTGGTTCTGGGGGAGGCGGAGCTCGGATCCGCAGGAGGATTTGGGAGTTAAACCGATAACCTGGAAGATTCTGGGGGCGACGCCCACTCCCAGACCCCCGGGCGGGTTTTTCTGTAGGAAGCGGCGGCTGAGAGTCTCCCAGGACCTCGGAAACAAAGGACAGCGGGGGGCTGTCCCTCCGGCCTCCCGGGGCCCCGGAGGGTACCTGTTGAGGAAAGCGTTGCCGAAGGCGTTGAGCTTGCGGAAGGGGCGCCGCGGATCGACGACGAGCGCGTTGCCCGGCACCACGCCCTCGGTGGGGCCGTGCATGACGGCGATGAAGGAGTCGGTGGTGGGCTCGGGCCCGATGCGCATCCCCGGGAAGTCCTGCTCGATCAGGTGCCGGATGAAGGTGGTCTTGCCCGTGCTGTACTGGCCCACGAGGAGCACCATGGGCTTGTTGTCGAAGTCAGCGTCCTCCAGCGCGGGCGAGTGGAACTCGTGGAAGCGGTAGTGCTCCTCCAGGGGCAGCAGCTTCTGCGCGTACAGCTGCCGCAGCCCCTCGGCCACCGTCTGGAAGAGCTCCGGCTCCTTCTTGCGGCGGGCATCCTTGCTGACCCAGCTGAACATGCTGCCGGAGACGGGGCTGGCTGCTGCGGGGCAGACCGGCGGCTGAGAGCGGGCCGAGGGTGGGGAGCCGAGGTGGAGCCGGGCCGGCCGGCGGAGGGCGGCGAGCACCGGGGCAGGGGGCA